AGCGCTCGCACCGGACGACGTGCGGCTCTCTCTACTCTTTCCATTTCCATTTGCCACCCTACAGTCACTGGACCCTGACTCTAAACCTGCGTCATCCCCGCCGAGCCCAAACCAGCCTCTCCATCCTCCCTTGGAACACGCATGGTGCTCCGCATGAGACCTGTGCTTTTCGTGCCGATGGTGCCCACCCATAAAAATCTCATCTCCTGGATGATTCAGCTCGATGGTCATTGCCGGGGGATGCGGGGGATGCGTCGAACGCGGGAATGTATGTGCGTACCCGACCGGGCATGGGCGGCCGTTCGCGTTGGTGCCGTACTTGATGGGTGGTGCAGGATTTCGGGAGGATACAACGAGGGGTGTGGCCTCATCTACCTCCGCCTCCCTATCCTTGTCCTCGTCCACCTCTTGCTCAGACTCGGGTGACGCGAGCGCGAGAGGTACACCGGAAAGGTGGCTCGCTCCGCCTTCCTCATCCTCTTCGTCTTCTTTTCGTCCCTGCTGATCGTTTGGCGTCCCATTCAAACGCTCGGGGAGCTGGGTTGGAGAGATGGTAGGTGAGGATGCAGGAGAGAGTGAGGGCGTAGAGCATGGTGAAGGAGGCGCAGAGGCATACGACTGGAGGTGGTCGACGTACGAGGTAGCGATATCTGCAATAATAGACAAGACGTTAATGAGGAGGATGAAGGCAGAAGGAGCAGGTTGGGAACGTACATTCGACGAGAAAGATAAGGAGTAGGGAACTCAGCCTGTGCAGATAGTCGTATCGATACATCATGAACAGAGAAGACAGATAAAACTTACACAATCATCCCTACCCACTTTGACATGCCATACCTCTCCTGCACCTCGGGGCTCATCAAGGCCTAGAACGCGTCCTGAAGGAGGTGCACAAAGGCAGTCGCCAGAATGATGCCTGTGCCAAAGTGCTTTCCAACGAAGAAGACGACGCCCGGGATGCGGATGCCGGGGATGCGGCGCGAGAGAGCAGGAAAGCATGATGCTGCCAGGGAGTCTAGTCAACAACTCTGTGTAAAAAACTGAATGAAGGCTATACGCACCGAAAAGAGAGACAAGGAAGACAGCAAACATGAGCCACACACGCGTGTGCACCCATTGCGTCACTAAGATCGCTTCGCCTGACACCGTCCAGGCACCGGATGACTGAGTTGGATAGTCGCTCGAGCCGTCGAAGGCAGTCCCTCTCTCTAGCCATCAGAGAGGCCAGCCATAGGCATGAGGACGGGACGTATAGATTAATGTCATGGAATGTGAGATGGCTGTGGGGCAGATACGGTCCGAAGTCGGCCCTGTAATAAATACGGTCAGCTGAGACAGTGATGCTCATAAAATGTATTGAGACATACCAGTGTCGCACGGTATTTTTCTGCTACAGGTCCAATTAGATAGCATACCCTCAATTGTTTGAGAGATGAGCGGTGAAGGAAGGGGATGGGGGGCGACTTGGAATAGATGTTGAAGGGGGAGGACGGGGACAGTGAGGACCACACCGGTCACCTAGGACAGATTTGCTTACATAACTGGAGGGATATTTCGGGTACCAATCGAATCGACTGTAATTGCCGGAGTTGTGGCCAGCAGCGCTGAGCATATCCATACTGGTCGCCTCTTCTTCTCCTGAATATCCTAATGAATGTCCAGTGAGATTCTCGTGGGTAATTCCAATAGCTTGTTGATGCATGGCAGAGACGTTTGACAGATCGATGACAGCCAGGATAAGTATCCTCTGAGTTTGATAAGTCCCGGGTTCGTCCCTCAGAGGCTCAGTCGGGCGACAAGCAGGCCATATAGCTTGGAAAGTAAATCAGACGGTGAGAAGCTCGTTCTATGTGTGTCACCGACCGAGAGAACGACTGACACGTTGTGCACAGAGGAAGTAGTGAAGCAACCAAGGGAGTGCATCCGAACAGTCAGTGCAAACTGATTGGATGCATTCGACAATCTAGGTGCTGAGCCAAGGCATTCAACGACTAGGCTATTAGAACTAGTACACTCAGAGTTCGATCAAGTCCAGATGCTGCAAGTAATGGGCAATACGCAGGCCGCATGAAACCGTCAGCGAGAGAGAAGAGTGCTGGGCCAATGAACCCAAGCATGCGGGCGGACTGAGTGCAGGGTCGGGGGGAAAAGGGTCAGCACATTCGACGGCGAGAGGATCCTCATGTGCACGAGACTGACAGCGACAAGCACCTTCGAGAGACGTCATGCTCCGAATAGCCCAAGTTGTGACACATACATGCATGAAGCCATTGAAGCAATCAGAAGTAGCGCATCCAAAAAATAACATCCACATGCCAGCAAGAGCATGATCTGGACGACCGCTGCCCAGAACTCGTGCAGTCATTTCAAGGCTGATACATCAGCAAAAAGTCCGGAATCATATCTGGTACGAACTATCTCCAACGTGCGTGATCTGTGACTGACTGTCAAACCTTCCAGGTGACGTATTGTTCGTCCAGATCAGCGACCTCTAAATGACTGACTAACCCCACCGTTCCAGATCAGCCACCCACCAGTGAGTTGACCAGCCTGCCTTTTACCATGTGCTCAGAAAATCTACAGATAATGCAGGAAATGATCATCTGTCCAGATAATTGGCTGTGGCCTCAGATGAACATCAGAGAGGTCCGATAATAGATTGTCCAGGCAGATTACATATTATCAGACCCACTGGTTTATAGACACACCAGAATATCATTTTATTGACATGGATTACTCGTAAACCTACTGTCCGACAAGAGTATATAATAAACCATGGCCGAAAGCGAGTGGACACAGAGCGACGAAAAGCGAAGAATGATGACAATCTAGGCTTAACTATGCAGCATGGATAAAGGAAGGTCAAAAGCATATGGATGCAAAGCGAGTAAAAGCGAAGGATGACGACTCTATATAATACTAAGAGACACAAGTACGCAGCTTGGTATAGTTGACTGACAATGAAAACACACCTCCGCGCAATGTCCAGCCAGAGTTCTTGGAGACTAAGCGATGACGATCAGCAACGTTTGCGGAGGCATAGTACTGGAGCATTTCACGCACCATAATTTAGTTTGCACCATGTCTAAGGCAGCAAAGCTGCACCTTCTCCTTCGGATCTTCATCCTCTTCCTCCACATCCTCATCCTCTCCCTCCGCATCTTGATCACTCATCTCCCCCATTACCTCAGGTCCAGGTTGGTCCAAGATTCCATCGGCCATCTCTATGTAATCCTGGACTATATTCTCTGGTATAGAGCTGTCGCTCGACTGCGGTGAGATAAGCATTTGTGTGCGTGCTTTTCTGGCAGCACGCTGCTGTGCGAGGAGGTCCATTGACGATGGTCCGTCATCTTGTGCATACATGCTGTTGGCGTGACGTTTGTGACAACTACTTCCGAAGACCTCGCTATAAGTACGAAGATTTGTAGGATTAGCATACTAACCAGATACATATGAGGCATGACGCTCACCCATTGTACCAATCCAAAGTAGCCTCGCACCACTCCTTGTCGTCGAAGAGGGCGAGGATGTAGTTATAGTATTCTTCATAATCAAAATCCCCGTCGGATTCAGCCCATTCACGCTGAGAGTTCAGTGCGAAATGTGCCTGCACCAACGATAAGCAATCTAAACGAATGATTGTAGATAACGTACCAATGTAGCCACATACGCAACATGATATTTGTTGCATTCTTTCATGCGATAAGTGACCGCAATTGGATTGCGACCGCTGCCCTTTTTCTTGTTGGAACCAGATGCATTGACGGGACGTTTGCCGCTGCTTGGACCAGTAAACAGCACTTGAAAGCACTGGACCATCAGCGTTAATAGTTACAAAGTAGGTGGTGAATGCGACACTTACGGAAGCCAGCAGATCACTCTTAAGGGCATTCTCATCGATGGCATCAGCGTTGTACCCCTTTTCAGGATATATCATCGACGGCAAGTCGGACGCTTTGATGCAGATGTTGCCATGCATAACGTTTTCGCAAAATCTGGAATACATTAACACAAATTAATGCAAACTTGAAAGGAATTACGATTACGTACCTTCCAGGGTCCTCATCGAACTTATCTCTCATTCGACCAAGACAAAGGAGGCGCACAGTTGCGAAGTGATGAAATCCTCGCTGCTCCTTGGGGTGGTCGACATCGATTGTCGGAATGCCCTTTATCGGTGGCACAAACTTGAGTATATTGCGCTTAATATTGCTTAGGTCATCAGTGCGTGCTGAACGAGCTTTCTGAGAGAGCTTGCCAGATCGCCAAAAACCGATAACCATTATAAATATGAGCAAAATGACAAATGTGACGTACAAAGTTCGCGAGGTAGATGAGGCTGTCTGGATCATCGTTGAGGCTGGGAAGCAGCTTTGACAGGCCTGGGATGATCTTCAGAAGAGCGCGAAACTGCTTCATTAACTCGGAAGCCTTCTCCTGGTCACTATATAACAATAAACAGTGCATATATGTGCATAAAAAATCAGAAATAATGATTTACTCACACATCTGGCCAATCATCGAGATCCCACAACTCCTCTGCAATGCCATGGCATGCTATACCGACCTGCAAGACCATCAGGATGTCCACGAAGAGTCCCATAATCTTTGGAATGAAGCGCGCCGCTCTGCACCAAGCTTCCAAGTGGCCCCTGGTATGCACACGCATTAGTAGTGAACGCGAATATGTCTACCACTTACTTTCCGACTTTGCGTAGGTGCATTTGAGTGATAATCGACTTGTATGTCTTGTCATCGTTGTCGTCTTCATCGTCGTCGTCGTCTTCATCATCGTCATCGTCATCCTCTTCGACCTCTGCATCTTCAACTTCAATCTCTTGCTCTTTGCTTGTATCATCCGAAGCGCCATCCAGATCATCCACATATAAAAATGATAAAGACGAAACTCACCATTGGCGTTGCGGTCTCTCGCTGCCTGAGTCCTCATCTTCACTGAAAATGACAGTTGCCGCCTTCTTTTTAGGTCGTGTGCTCGTGACGCCATCACCTGCGGGCTGTTTCTTCATCAATGATTTCGGTGGATTGGCTTTTTGCGACTTGACAGAATGCTTCGCTCACGCCGCTGACTTTGTTGCGGATGGCTTTGCAAAGATGTAAGTCTATGACCTAGGTGCCGAGACGACGTACCTTTGCCATGTGCGTTCCAAGATTTAGAGTTGGTCCGAGATGAAAGTTAGAGTTGGCCCGAGATGATGTCCGAGATGAGAGATGAGATAGACTGAGATGAGGCCAGTTTTCAGGCTGAGCAACTTTATGCGGTCACATGACCGACATGCCTTTGTGCGCGAGTTGCGCTCGCGCAACACCATCCATGCTGTTGTCTCTCGATGTGCCTGTTGACTGACTCTATTGTCCTGTATATCTCACTACTCATTATTATGCCTTCCTATACCTGCTTTTCTTGCAAAAAAGCCTGCAAAGATGCTCGAGATCTCACTATACACTATAGCCTATGCTCATCTGTCAAGGCAGCAACCATATCATCTGTCAAGAAGCGTGCGGCAAACATGCAAAATGCTAGGGCTGCAAAGGTTCCAAGGGCTGAGAGGGATGGAGTGGCTAGCAAAGATCTGGGGGATCAGAATGAGTTCCGGGATGACGAGGTAAGTCATGGTATGTCTGAGCGCGTGCACAGTCAATGATTGCAGCATCAGTTGAATAATGAGCCTGCACCTGAGTTCATGCAGGGGTCATCCACAGGGAGGGTAGCAACACCAGAACCTGCACCGTCTCTCAGCCGCAGTGGCCGTCAAAGACGTGCACCTCGCGCACTCCAAGACTTTCTGCCGTCATCTACTCGTGGCCTTCCAGCACACATACCCAGGCCTCTCATAAATCGTCCTACAAGATCTCACACCATCTCCTGTGAAGAGGTTCCTGATGAATCTCAGCCATCGGTTGAAAACGTGCGAACATACGACACCACACCGAATGAGTTTGGTGTGTTCCATCGTTATTCCTCACCTCCCTCCAACCCTCCAACCGATACCACTTCTCTTGACGACTTTTGTGACTCTCCGAGTCTCAAGAAGGCGAAGGGAAAGGAGAAAGCGAGGCATTGGTATCACCTGTTCGACAATGCTAATACTGCTCGTATTGTTATGTGGAGCACTACAGGGCCACATAACAAGTCTCTTGCTGAGATAGATCGACTTGTGAATGAGGTTATACGCGCGGATGACTTCGATCCCTCAGTATTGATGTCGCAATGGCGTACTACGACTCAGCTACCCCGTCTAGACTCTGCAGATGATGAAAGTCTTTTCTCTCACCCTGAAGGCTGGCGACAGTGCTCAGTAAAAATTCCTATACCTAAAGAGAAGACGAAAACCTTCGAAGACGATGCTCCTACCTTTGAAGTGGGAGACATTCACATGTGACGGCTGGTTGATATCATTCGGGAGGTTTGCGAGGATCCAGATGCAAAGATCTATCACTGGCAGCCCTTTCAACAATTCTGGCAGCAGACAGATGATGACACAGGATCGACTGAGGATATTCGCATCTATAGTGAGCTTTATAATTCAGACGTCTTCCTCGAAGAAGACGCAAAACTTCGTGCTGAAGCAAAAACATCTGGCAACTCTGATGATATTGAAGTTGCCATTGCTCCTATCATGCTCTGGTCAGATTCTACACATTTAGCCAACTTCAGAATGGCATCATTGTGGCTCATTTACATCTCATTTGGCTTTCAATCGAAGTACACGCGTGCACGATGGCGGTCTGGGGCATGCCGCCATTTCGCATATATTCCTAAAGTACGTATCATTAATTCATGTCTTTTGAAAGCTCCCTGATTTCTATCTTTCAAGTTACCCGATAATTTTCAAGACTGGTATGAAGAAACATATGGTGAACCCGCTAGCGCAGACATTCTCCGGTTCTGCAAGCGTGAACTATTTCATGCAATATGGCTGCTCGCACTCAATCTGGACTTCATGCATGCTTACGAACATGGAATGTTGATCCAATGCGGAGACGGAGTGCTGCGGTGAATGTTTCCTAGGTTTTTCACTTACTCTGCCGATTATCCTGAGAAGTATGTACAGAATTGTTTGCATTTGTATCCTTCCTATGCTAATATTCTCGTCAGAGTTCTCCTCACTTGCGTGCGCTATCTAGCACAGTGCTCATGCCCACGTTGCCTCACAAAGAAGACCGACATCTCTAACATGGGATCTCATGCCGACATGCTTCGGCGTACCAAACTACGCACAGATGATCATCCTGTGCAATATGATATCTCAAGGATGCGACACTGGGTATTCGAGAAGGGTTACGCTCCTAGCAGCAAGCGCATCACCCGTGTTCTAGACAGCCGATCTTTGGTACCAACTAGAGTGCGTCCAATTATTTTAATATATTTGCAGGTGCCACAATATTGATAATAAATATTCAGAGTGCCTTTTCCATTCGTCTTTCACCATTTGGCTTCAACTTTTACTCAATGTTTGTCGTTGATCAGATGCATGAGTTCGAGCTCGGTGTTTGGAAAGCAATTGTGACCCATCTTCTGCACATTCTCTATGCGTTGGGTCATAATGCTATTCAAAGGTTTAATAAAAGGTGGGCACAATACACTGCTACCCCCCCCAAATTTGTTGTTAAGATTTTTATGACATTTGTAGATTTCGTAAAGTTCCTACGTTTGGGCGCGATACAATTCGGCGATTCTGCAACGATGTATCTGGATTGAAACAACTGGCCGTGCGTGATTATGAAGATATATTACAGGTGCGTGCAAATTAACAATTTGCGCAATAATCAAAATGCTCAATTTTCGCCTTTTCAGTGTATTGCTCCTGTCATTGAGGGGCTTTTGCCGGCTTCTCACAACAAAATCGTTCTTGATTTAGTCTTCAAACTGGTGATGTGGCAAGCCTTTGCGAAGCTGCGACTGCATACAGACGAGACATTGAAGACCTTTCGCTTGTCGACCAAACAACTCGGCAAACTTGTGCACAAATTTTGTAAGATGACTTGTGAAGCATATCACACGGTTGAACTTCCAAGAGAAGAAGCTGCAAGAGGACGTAGAGAAGCTGCAATGCAGGTGAACAAAAGGGCATCACAGATGGATAGCGCCGCAAGCATTCAGAAAGGTCCGAAGCTAAAGAAGCTCAATCTTGAGATGTACAAGTGGCATGCGCTTGGCGACTATGCAACCACAATTATGCGCTATGGCACAACAGACAACTACACAATGCAGATCGTAAGTTATACTGCGCTCAATGATGCTAGCACAAAAATACTAACATAAAAATTCATTCATCTATTAAGGGTGAAGAGGAACATCGAACCGTCAAGGCTGATTATCGTAGGACGAATAAGAACAAACATGAAGGGAAGATTGCTGGGCATCAACATCACACAGTGACTATACAGAAGATGAAGCGACGTGATGAAGAAAGACGTCACCATGAGATGAAAAATGCCACGAAGCGTGACAAACATCGATTTGCTCATGCGCATGAAGAAGCAACTTCTTCGAATCTGCATGGTGCAAGGGTCAACGTAGGATCTGAGGACGAGACACTTGAACCTACATCTCCAGAGGCAAGGTATCACATCTCCCACTTGCAGAAAAACTTTCAAGATATCACAACCTGGCTTCGAGTGAATAAGGATGATCCTGCTTGTAAGGTACGCTATTCTGATTGTCTTTTACATGATTTTAACTCTGATTCTTGACGTAGAACTTTCTGCCACTTCTGAAAGATCACATTCTTGGTCGCCTATGCTGTCGTGGATATGACGGTGATGAAAGGGGCTTCTCGGAGTCTGATCACTGTACAGTGGTCTTCGAGAAAAACAGGATGTATTTTCACTCGGTTTTGCAGCTCAACTATACAACTTATGATCTGCGCCGCACACAAAATTCAGTTAATCCATGAACACATTGCAATATCATGGTCGCAGCCCACAAAGAAGACGATCTATTCTTTTCCGCTGCAAATGAGCATCCGTATTGGTACGCGTGGGTCATCAGGATATTCCATGTTAATGTGCAGCACTTGGGACCGTATCGAACATCTGACGAACCCCAGAAACTGGACGTTCTATGGGTTCGTTGGTATGGGCGTGACATTGCAGCACCTGGCAGATTCGACAAAGAGCAGCTGCATCGTATCGGCTTTGTCGACAGTGATGATCCAAATGCCTTTGGATTTCTCAACCCGGCGGATGTCATACGGGGAGCACACCTCATTCCAGCATTTGCGCACAGACGCACGCCAGATTTGCTGCCGCCATCAATATGTGCAAGACAACCTGACGACAATGATCTGGATTATCAATTCTACTACGTGAACATGTGAGTCGTAACTGTTCTAAATTGTTCATATAATTATATGAGTGACATGTCTCACCCGACTCAGGTTTGTCGACAGAGATATGTTCATGAGATATCTCGGAGGTGGTGTGGGACACAAGGGTACAGTTGTGCGAATGCCTGCAGAATCTGACCATGCTGGGATACCACAGGATGGAGACCGTTCAGATGAGGATATAGTAAATGAGGGGCAGCATGATGAAGACAGCAGCATGACATTCAACGACGGTGAGCAAAGTCAGAACATGGAGGACGAGGAATATGATTACGGCTATGTTGTCGATGAGGAGAATGAAGCCGATGATGGAGTAGCGGAAGGGGACGATGGCAGCAGAGATGATATGTCGAGTGAAGAAGACGAGGATGCAGGTGTTCCTTTTGTGACTTTGTAGACGTGCCGAGGTTCTGTGACTGTGCTAATTCATACAAAGATTTATGTACACTCAATTCATAATATTCTGTTAGCCTGCCTGAATCACCATCCTCATGTCTGACTATATCTGTGCATACCTGTCAGATCAAGTCAGTTGAGTGCCAGATAAATGTGTAACTGGCCAGTGGTGATCAGACCAGTGGCCAGCAGACGACATGGGCAAATGTCTGAAAATATATTCTACTGCAATACAAAGGCACTATTATCTATCATGTCTGCCCAGATCGGGCTCCGGACTTTTTGCTGATGTAAGCAATCGCGTGATCTCTGCTAAGGCTTGGGAGTGCACGTGCAGCTGCTAAGTAGTCACATAACACCAGGTGCACTGGTACCACGTCCCTTTTCGCCTCCTGTCGTTCACTCGTAAATACATGCAGCTCGACATCTATGGCGCGGCAATATCCATATCCCAGCCGTCACTACCTCGTCATATGCCGCTCGCATCTCTTCCCCGTCCCCCTTTCGATCTGACAGAGCAGCACGGCCGACAGACGTCCTACACAGAGACGGCGTAGCAGGATCATCTGTGCGGCGTTGGAGTAGAAGCGGACAGTCGAAAACGAATCCTGCTATACCGTATGGTGGAGACGGGCCCGGTGGAATGCCAGGAGTGACGCATGTGTGACCAGACGCGTCAGAACGCGCATACATACTCCAGCACGTGACTGAGCGTGTCTGCTGTTCTGCTGGCTGTATGTGCCTTGGATTAGTCTCGCCGAACCTCTCTGGACAATGATGGACATGCTTTATGAAATTCAGGACCTTGACGTGTCCCTCACGTCCAGAAGAAATGGCCACCCAAGGCTCCGAAGGTTCACCGCGAGTACATGTCTAGTGCCAATCAACGCAAATGACATCTATTATATGCTGTTATAACGTCCAACCTCCAACCTCCAGATATAGATGACATGTTAGTGCGAATCGTGATGAGTGTAGCGATCGTAACGTCATCGTAGGCGCCCGCCTATCCAAAAAGAAAAGACAACCCAGCACCGAGCGGTGCGACCGCAGCCTGGGGAAACAACAGCAGGGGTCGCAGAATGTGTTAAAGAAATGCAGATGCAAGGAAAACGATATCGTGAGTTCGTGGCCAGAAATGATGCATATGCGTTGTAGTGGTAGTGATGGGGAAACCGGCGGAAAAGGGTGACGAAGAGTGTGGCGTGCGACAGCCCGACCGGAGAGTGATGAATGATAGATGAGGGGACAGACAGAGCCATTCACGCGTGGTTGGCGGGGTCCGCCTGTGTCATCTCCTTGACGGGCACTGGCATCGGCTTCGTCGGCGCGTACTTTGACTTCTTCCTGATAATAGGCCCATACTTGAACAGCACGAACGGGATGGGCGCCATGAGCAGCACGATGAATCCAAGAAGAGTCGACGCCCAGCGCGAGTTGAGCCGCTCAAACATCTGCGTAGCGAACATCGGGAAGCCGGCGCCGAAGCACGACCGCACGACGGTAAGCGAAGCGAGCGCGGATGCTGCGACGAAGAGGTACGCGTCGGCCACGTAGTTGAACAACGCAAGAAAAATCCAGACGATGCTCCATCCGAGCGGATAGCCCGCGATGAGCACCGTCCAGAGCGAGATGCTCGGGTACGACGTCCAGCCGAACCAGAAGAACGAGGCCATGAACATCCGCGCGGCAAACATCGCGACCTCGAGCCGTTTCTCGGGCGGCACGGGGTGCGGTGCGTGCTTTTTCTGCGAGCGCACGTACCGCGTGTTGAAGATGAGCGGGTACTACGTGAACACGTCTGTGCAGCCGCCCAGGAAGATTGGCAGGAACGTCAGACCGAAGAGGCCCATGCTGAGGTTGTGCCCCTCCAAAAAGACGACGGAATAGGCCTCGAACAAGAGGTCCATGCAACCGTACACGAACTGCGCGACACGTGAGCCGCCACGCAACAGAGGATGGAAGGAAACAAGCACTTACGCTCATGCACAAGGTGGTGGCCATCAACATAGGTTCTCGGAAAAGAGCGATGAACGGCCTTGCGAGAACGTGTTTGAGGTGCTGCCCGATCGACTTCTTCTGCTTCGCCATCGCAGCCCAGTACCGATCATTCCCCGTCTCCTTGCGCGATCTCTCCGCCTTCCGCGCCATGAGATGCATGACACTGCAGGCATGAAGGCATTCATTCCTGTTGCAAATGCTCTGAAAACGTGTTCTAAAGTGTGACCTATGCAACACTATGCCCTAATTAGGCAACTTTACATCCCAAAAAGGCAGTTAATTACAATTTAGTGTCAAAAACGAACGATCGCAAATGCTTTCATGCCTGCGGTGTGAGGATCGGCCTACGCAGTCACAAATCAGTGACGGTACTTCAGGAACGTGATGAGGACATACAACAAGGCTTCCGGCAGCGTGGACGAGATCAGAATCAGACAGATACCAGCAAAGAACATCAGCAACCAGTAGAGCCATCGCCAGGAGACCCCCTGAACGCTCATGAAGCCAGAGACGATCGGTCCGAGAGTGAGGCCTGTGAACGGTGCGAGAGCGAAGAAAGCCAGAGCCTCTCCACGGTTTCCTGCATCCCAGATATCGGACACCAACGCGCTGATAGTGATGAGAATCATTGTGGACTATCGGCAATCATAGCTACTCACCCGCTATTGGACAGTGCCGCAGAGGTACCACCGAGGAACCGAGACTAGGATTGACGCGGTACTTCACGAGAGCGCGCAGCCACTTGAAAGCAGACGCATACCACGAAGGAGATCATGAAAATCATCCGCAGCGCGAGAGCCCACCGGCCGACGATGGAGCAGAACAAATGTGGGTCGAGCACAAAGTCTCCCCAAGCATCTCGATGCATGCCGCGTATATGAGCATCCCCGCCGAAAGCGCGGACATCACGCTCATGAGCAGGATCACTTTGATTGGAGTGTAGAATGAAGAATCAGGTCGAGACCAAGGAGACAACGAGACATGGGCACGCACCTCCTTCGCTTTCGCCGGGCCCGAACACCGCCAGCCCAATGGCGATCCCAACGGGCGTCGTCACCGCGAACATAAGTGCGAGCACAGGCTTGAGCAACCCGTTCTCGCCAGCGCGTTTGCTCATGTTGCTTCTCTGCCCGCCCAAACAAAGATCATCAGTGAGACCCAGAATAAAGCCGAGGAGACACACTTACGATCCTCCGCGGGTAGCGTCGCGATCCGGATTCCGAACGACAGGCCTTCAAATAGCTGGTGGAACATGATCGCAGTGACCAGAGACGTTGAGCGAGGGCTGATCAGCTCGACATGTCGGAGGGAAGACGGTAAACGGGGCACGCACTGAATTCGGGGCCCGAGGTGATCGCGAGTGTGAACCCGATGACGAGCGAGTGCAGCATGATGCCCATCTCGCGCATCTGCCGCCGCGAATGCGACGTCAACTTGAGCGCTTCGGACGGGATGAGAAGGACGACGCACCAAGACGCCGACCACCTGCCTCCGCCGTCCGACCTGTCTCTGAGCCGCGTCCTTGCCTCCATGCCCGCTGTCAGCCTCTTCGCCCCCATTCTCATGCTCATGAATGCCCCGGTCCCCGCCCCACGATTCCATGACCATATGCCAACCATATGCAAGTGCCCGTGAGCATGCATATGGTTCACTTTATGCCCGTGCACACGCCGACGCTCATGCTCCCGCATAACGCTCGCGCCGAACGATGCGCGGCCCTCCCTACCCTTTCCATCTCTAATTGTCACTCTGCAGTCATTGGAGCTTGATGCTGAACCTGCGTCGTCCCCACCGAGCCCAAGCCAGCCCCTATGCCGCATGGAACCCGCGCTGTTCGTGCCGATGGTGCCCGCCCTTGAAGGTCTCATCTCCTGGACTATTCGGCTCGGTGGTCAACGCCTGGGGGCGTCGAACGCGGAAATGTGTGTGCGTGCGCGACCGGGCGTAGGCGGCCGTTCGCGTTGGACAGTGCAGGATTGCGGGAAGACATAACGAGGGGCGTGACCTCATCTACCTCCACCTCCCTATCCTCGTCCTCGTCAACCTCTCGCGCTCGCGTCACCTGAAGGTTGCTCGCTTTGCCTTCGTGCTCTTCTCGTCCCTTCATAAGGTTCGGAGTCCCAATCGAAGGCTCAGGGAGTTGGGCTGGAGAGATGGCGGGTGAGGATGCGGAAGACAGCGAGGGCATAGAGCATGGCGAGGGTCGCGCAGAGGAATACGACTGGAGGCGGTCAACGTATGAGTTAGCGATATCTATACATCGATAGGAACGACGTTAGCGAGGAAAATGGAGATGAAAGGTGCAGGTTGGGAACGTACATTCGACGAGAAAGACTCGGATAAGGAATGGCAGCTCAGCCTGTGCAGTGAATGGTATCGGTACATCGTGATTACAGGGAGGACAAAAATAACTTACGCGATGATTCCCGCCCACTTTGACACGCCATATCTCTCCTGCACCTCCGGCTCATCGATGCCTCGAACGCGTCCCAGTGGAGGAGGTGCACAAAAGCGGTCGCCAGGATGATGCCCATGCCAAAGTGCTTTACAACGAATAAGATGACGCCCGGGATGCGCAATGCGACAACGTTCGACTGGGGGCACCGACGAGGCGGCGATGATCATCGTAGATGCCGAACAGATGCGCTCCTCCTCAGATTGCGTGGTTGGCCTTTGTCTCGCCTAGCGCCGAGATGATGCCTGAGCCTTTTACTTGTGGAAACGTCGCTCCCTACTCAAGAATTTTGTGTCGATACTATAAGAAGCTCTGGGCGCCGCAGGTGTGAAAAGCCTGATAGATACACACAAGAGGGAGAAGCTGAGAAAGTCGGGACGAGCATGCTGAAGACAGGGCAGGATAATGGCAGCGCGCGGCGCTGCTCGGTGAATGCAGCATTGAATGCGGGCAACCGCCGGCATGGGTCGAGAATCTGCTGCGGTACGAGTGCACTAGTTGGTGTATATGGCCAAGTGTCCAGACGAGTATCTTCCTTGACGAGAACGCGAGCGGCCATCCGTATCGCGAAGCAGTGCTGAATAGATGCAGAATGGCAGTGTGTCGAATGCGTGGTAGACACGTTCATGACAGATTTCGGTCGGTATTCAATACGAGTACAGAAGCTGTGCGTGCATCTCCATTCTTCCTTGGCCGCCGACCGCTCGAGGAACAGAATCAAGCGCCACTGGGTGCGTCATTCAATTCTGCGCAGGTGATATTCACCTTCTACAGGTGCGAACATAAGTCCCATCCTCGCACGTAACAGTGCGCGAGATGAGACACAAACCGCCATGTTGCACAGATTGGAAGGGAAAAAGTGCGAGCATCTTGACGAGCGTCCGCGTCCTCGTTCAGCGCTTTCAGCGCTCAGCGGTCCGATACTATTTACTAGTACATATGATCCTGCCCATCAAACATGCGCTTGCGAGCTGTGCATAGGCCACCCACATATACTTAGCCTCGCGAACCTCACATCCCTTTCCCTTTCCTCTCATCCCCGTCCTCTCACATCCCCTGCATTCGGACACTTCATCAAAGCTACACTTCTGCTACACTCTGTGATCACTGAGAACTCGAACTATGGATACAACTCCGAGAAACATCGACTCTGAGCTATCCAGTCCTCTGACTGTGCCCGCCTCAGAGCATTCTGACTTGACTGTACCTGAGTAAGATACATATTTCCTCCATTCAACTTATTCCAGTAATTCAATGAATCTATGATACCACAGAATCTCAATCATGCAACCTATGGAGGGCTCACAGCCAACCCTATCTTCTTCAGACCCTCAGATTCTGAATATGCCAGCGCAGTGAGCTTTCCTTTGTGTCTAGTCTTACACTTTGTCATGTATCTGTCAAGAATATCAAACCCAAGTTCATCAACTGCTGCAGGCCCAAGTGGTCTTCTGCTGGCAGAAGCAGTCCAATTTTTGTATGTAGCACTGACTTTATCATATTATCATGCCATGCATTGACAATCTTGAGCAGAGCGAAATTTCAATCTGGATTTTCTTTGAGGCTATTGAGAACATGTGTTATTTTGAAGAATACAAATGCTGGGTATATTATATTTAGCATTGAAGTGCTATTGCTGCTTTGCTCACGCTATGTAATCAAGAAAACTGCTGCACAATATCATCAAACTTGTGCTGCATGACAGCAGGGAGAATAAAGAAGCACTGCAGTATGTGTGAAGTTTTTGACATGCAAGGATCACATTATTAATCAAAACACAGATTGCACCACATGAGCCTCAATACAGTGTCATTGATCGCTAATATTGATGCAGATTTAGTTCAAATTCAAGGCAACATTTCAGAGTTTTTCATGCAAATCCTGGCACATCTTTCTCAGGAACTTCTGAAATGTTATCACAAATCACACCTTGTGAGTGAACTAAACAAGATGATAATGATACTAGGAATGGCATTGCAGCTAGTTCCTGATGATCATAAACACAAATGGGCATATTGGGGCATGCTAGCAGATGCCTTACATAGGCAATTTCAACATACTAGGGATCTTACATATCTTGATCAAGCCATTGCTGGAGCAGTGCAGCTGACATCAAATGATCCTGAGATGCTGAATGACCTTGAAAACTTCTTCTCAAGGCGCTTTAGGCATCTTCAAAACCTTGCAGATGTGAACCTGGCCATTGCTGTGCAGCAAAAAGCAGTGCAGCTAACACCAGATAATCATGCAAACAAGCCTGACTGGCTTAGCAATCTTGGAAACTCCTTCTTGAGCTGCTTTAAACATCTTGGTAACCTTGCAGATGTTGACCAGGCCATTGCTGCGCAGCAAGAAGCAGTGCAGCTGACACTAGATGATCATGTAAACAAGCCTGACTGGCTTAGCAATCTTGGAAACTCCTTCTTGAGCCACTTTGAACATCTTGATAACCTTGCAGATGTTGAACAGGCGATTGCTGTGCAGCAAAAAGCAATCCACCTAACCAGAGATAATCATGCACCCAAGCCTGAGTGGCTTAGCAATCTTGGACAATCCTTCTGGAGGCGCTTTGAACGTCTTGGTAATCTTGCAGATGTTGAACAGGCAATTGCTATGCAGCAAAAAGCAATGCATCTGACACCAGATGATCATGCACACAAGTCTGGTCAGCTCAACAATCTTGGAATCTCCTTCTTGAGCCGCTTTAAACATCTTGGTAACCTTGCAGATGTTGAACAGGCGATTGCTGTGCAGCAAAAAGCAGTGCACCTGATCAGAGATGATCATCCACACAAGCCTGACTGGCTTAACAATCTTGGAAACTCCTTTTTGAGCCGCTTTGAACATCTTGGTAACCTTGCAGATGTTGAACAGGCGATTGCTATGCAGCAAAAAGCAGTGCAGCTAACACCGGATGATCATGCACACAAGCCTGATGAGCTCAACAATCTTGGAAACTCCCTATTGAAACACTTTAAACATCTTGATGATCACTCTGCACTTGAAAAGGCAATGCTTCAATATTCATTAGCTGCTAAGTCATCCACTCGCCCCTTTTCTACCAGATTTCATGCTGGTCAAAACTGGATTAAATGTGCTCATGCGTTGCAAGATTCATCCCTTCTTCAGGCCTGTAATGTCACATTGACTTTGCTTCCAAACTTGGCATGGCTTGGATTGCCTTTTTCAGATCGCTATGGTGCACTAATTCGTGCAGCAAGTCTTGCTAGAGATGTTGCTGCAATAGCCATTCAGTGTGGACACTATGGTACTGCTGTTGAATGGCTTGAGCAAGGGCGTTCAATTGTCTGGGAACAGCAATTGCAGCTTCGTACTCCCTTTGATGATCTGCAGGCTAAGCATCCAACACTTGCAAATAAAATTTCTCAGATCTCAAAGCAGCTAGAACAAGCAAGCTATAAAAGTGACATGAAGGAAGCAGTACAAGAGAAAGCAGTACAAGGGACTTTGGAGAAAGAAGCTCAACAGCACCATGCACTTGCACATGAATGGGAACTTTTGCTGGCTGAAATTCGGTCCATGCCAGGATTTGAACAATTTTTGATGCCAAAAAAGCTGGCTCAGCTTTTGAAGTGTGCACATTCTGGGCCAGTGATCATCCTAAACTGCAGTCAGTTGCATTGTGATGCATTAATGATTGTGTTTGGCTCAAAAGATGTGATCCACCTTCCTCTTGATGGTCTCACCTATCAAATCGCACAAAATCTTGAACTATCACTGAATTCATTGCTCAGAAATAAAGACCGCATCATCTCAAGTGTTATTGACCAAGATGACATCACTCTAAGCACAATGCCCAGCGAAACTCTTCATCAGCCTTGCCACACTATCTTTACTACCATTGACAGAGATGACAGGGCAGCAAAAATGGAATTTTCTGGTGATGAAGCATACTCTTCATTTGAAAGTATACTTTCTGAGCTATGGTCCAAAATTGTCAAACCAGTCTTGGATAGACTTGATTATCAAGTATGCCTTTATTTCACTTCTTTCATTATTTGACACTGATGATTGATTTAGAAACAAACTTCAACATGCTCTAATCTAAGTCGAATTTTTTGGTGTCCCACAGGCCCTCTGGCATTTCTTCCCATTCATGCTGCAGGCATATATGGAACAGCTGAATCAAATATCAAGCTCTCAGAATTTGCCATATCATCATATACTCCCACTTTAAGTGCACTTATCTTACCATCTGAAGACAACATCCCACAAAATAATCATCTACTGGCTGTGGCTCAGCCAAGCTCAGATGGTCAATTCTTTCAGCTTCCCGGTACACAAAAGAAAATATCTAAGATAAAGGAAAGGCTTAAGAGGCTGAGCTCTATGCAAGTCTTGCTTGTGGAGTCTGATGGAAGAAAAGATGATGTACTGGACAAGCTACAAAAGTGCAGCTGGGCTCATTTTGCATGTCATGGAATACAAGACCTCCAAAATCCAGTTAATAGTGGACTACAACTTGCAAATAACCAACACTTGAAGCTATCTGACATTGTCAGAGTGACACATCCATGAGGAGGATTGGCCTTTCTGTCAGCCTGTCAGACAGCAACTGGTGACAAGAAACTTGCAGATGAAGCTGTCCATCTTGCTGCAGGAATGCTGTTTATTGGCTATAGTGGGGTGATTGCAACAATGTGATCAATTTTGGATGATGTTGCCCCTCAGGTTGCAGAAGATGTTTATTCCCAGTTGTTCTCTAATGATAGCCCACCAGATTATAGGCAGGCTGCAAGGGCATTGCACTATGCAGTAGCGAAATTGCAACAAAATCCTAAAATTTCATTTTACTCGTGGCTCCCTTTTATACACCTTGGTTTGTGAACATGGCTATATAATGTTGTAGTTCTTTTCTGATGTATATTTTTGTCATTTGCTGTACAAATATGTGTGTTATAAAAGCCAGAGTGTGCATAGTGTGGAGGACAAGAAACATAACATCAAGGGTGATGTAAACAAAAAATGTAAGTATAAAATGTCACTAAAATGAACTAAAAACAGGATCCATAATCTAGACTCTACTGCTGCTACTGAAAGATGCAGCTCCCATTAATAAGGTGAAAAAACTGGTGGAATATCATTATACCAGTGTTGCTACTATGCATTCCACTGATGATTACAGTACTACTTGACAATGATAAGCTACCTGGTGTCAGCGATGACAGCATCTTTATTATCCTCCACAAAGCCACTGCATTAACAGAAGCGTCACCCTCTATGTGGGAGAAAAATCACATAATCACATTCCCCTAGTTGCCAAGCTGCATGAGCATCATGATACTTACAGCATACATTGCATTGGAGTGCTTTTTTCATTTGACCCACATATGCTGTCATTATGTTCATCTCAACGTTGATATGCTCAACTGTGTCCTGGCCATAAGCAGTGCTCCTAACCAACCCCTATTGGTGGAAGGTGAACTGGGGCTCATCTGTTCACGGTCCCTTTGAGCTATGATTGCAGGAAATTTCAAATGATAATGCAGTGATGGGTGGCTGTAAGTCGTTCAGCTGTTTTGCTTGAAACAGAGTCAGTTTTGCCAAAACTTGTGATCGGTAAGTGTCAGACTCGACTATGTGGACATCTCTGACTGAGAAATAGTTGAAAGCTTGAGTGTGGGGGTGTGTGTGTGTAAGATGCGATCGGCGATCCTTGTGCTCATGAACTGTGGTGGCTGAAGGCCTGGGCTGGGGCATGAGGGCTTGCTATATCTGAAAAGTGCTGGTCAAGCACTGACGGTGAGTCTCTAACTGCCTCTGAGCTGGGATAAGCACTGACGATGAAGCCCTGGGCATCTCAAAACTGGGTCAAGTGCCAACGATGAGGCTCTAACTGTCTCTGAACTGGAAGAAGTGCTGATGATGAAGCCCTGAGCACTTTTGGCTGAAACGAGTGCTGAAGATGAACTTCTGGATGCTAGCGAGGCTACAGAATGTGATGGGGATGGAATCCTGGTTTGAGACTCGTGACTGGTGGCATGCGAGCAAAATGCGATGGTGTGAGATGCGAGAACGCGATAACGTGACTTGGCTGGCTGAAACCCAAGTCGAGCTAGAGGCCACTGCTGAAAGTGCTGCCCCTCTCAGTGTCGAGAATCCCAGAGATGTAGAACATGATTGCAATAGACATAGACCTAGTTGGACACGATGCCCTAGTGTAGACAAGATGAGAACTGAACTCTGCTCTGTGTGGAAACTCCGTGAAAGCTTGTTTTTATTTCTATGTACAGTATGGATTATATATTGGGTCAAAAATGAGCCAGCTGAGTTGCTGAAATGCATTTCTGATCATACACTGTGTTTCTGATTCTGTCACAGCGAAGACTGGACAAGAGATCAAAAGACTCAAAAAGGGAACGGTCACATGGAATGTGCCGCCCTGATCCCCCTGATCCCTAAAGTGGCTTAAGAGCCTAACACTTACTAGCTGTGTAGAAAGCATCTGAAAATGTGATAGATATAATGAGGAAGCTGGTAAGCTCAGTGATCGCTACAGTGGTAGATGAGGAGAAACAATCTGAGGTTTCATCCTCTACATGCTGGTTTTACATACGTGTACAGGTGCTGACTTTTGAGATATGTCATTGGCTATCTACGTATCTACACAACTAAACTATACATGAAACAATAAGTGAGAAGATCTATCCATAAGTAGAACAATAGGTGAGAAGATCTGTCTCCATTCGTAACAATGGTGAGATGGTCCATCCTATCATGGTAATGGCTATTCCTTGAGCCAATTGCCTAAACAATCCCTAACAATAGTCCTTGTTCCCTATGTTCCCAAATGGGTGCCTCTATTGTATCCTTGAATAGACTGGTCTGGACATATCATCCGTAGGTCTGAACTGTAACATGTGATGTGGACTATCACCTGATCTCTACATGTCACATCTGTGACTGAGTGACATGAGATATTGATAAAGCACGTGATCTGTGATGTGAGAAAAGTCACGTGCGGACTTTGTGGCAAAAATCTGTGACACTACCCCCCTCTCAAGGCTTATTGTCCTGAGGAGCCAAAACCTTTGTTTTCCCTTCTTGTTGCTTGTAATGGTTGATAACTTTTGAAGGGAAGCCCTTCAGCATAATATTCGAAGATTATTTGGGCTGTCCGGTCTCATGGTTTAACCAAAAATATGAAATCTGTTGTGTTGATCAGTACGACCTTGAGTTCTCTCGTGTAATCTGGGTCAACGACTCCTGCACCCACATCAATTTCTTGAGCAGCCACTCCACTTCATGGAGCTATTCGTGTGTAGATATATTTAGGAGGGTCAATTGTGACTCCTGTTCCTATCACAGCTCATGAATGTGGGGATATCTCATGTGTTTCTGCTGCATAGATATCCCATCCTGCTGCTTTGTTCGAGGATTTCTTTGGTGATTTGGTGAGGTCTGTCATTTTGTGATATAGGAAGAACTCATCTGGGTGATCGGACATGTTGATTTGGTGTGTGGATTTTGGTGTGAGTTCGTATGAGGATAGTTTGAAGCATTTTCCACTGTATGTGACAACCCTGATTGGTGCTTTGGCTGCATCTGGGTGTTGTTGGTGGAATTCTTGAAGAAGCTCCTCGGCGTTGGTGAGATTTGTTCGGGGTTCCCAGGTATCGTTGGAATGGTCATAACCCTTCCATTTGATGAGATATTGGACCCTTCCCCTCACAACCTTAGAGTCTAGGATTTCTTCAACTTCGAATTCTGGTTCTCCTTCTATTTTGATGGCTGGGGGTTTTGGAGGTTCACAGTTTGCAACCGTGTCTTGGTGATACATAATCAACTTGCTAGCATGGAAGACTGGGTGGACCTTCATTTGCTTGGGTAGTTTCAGCCTGAATGTGACTGGTCCTAGCTTCTGAAGCACTTTGTAAGGTCCAAACTTTTGCATGCCTAGCTTCACAGATTTGACTTTTACTCTGAGATCTTTCCCTTTGAGTAGTACTAGGTCTCTGACTTTGAATGGGACTTCTCCCTTTTTCGCATCGAAGTACCATTTCATTCGTGAAGCCGCAACTTTCAATGCTGCCTTTGTCTGTTCCTGTGCCTCAGATCGGTGGGTGAATAGATGTTCCAATGAAGGGTAACATATTGATTCGTGTAGGTCTGGTGCCATTTTTGAATGTTGGTCATATTTGACAAAGAATGGGGACAGTGCGGTGGACTCATGGGTCTGGTTGTTGTATGAGAACTCTGCTGTCAGCAGATAGTAGACCCAATCATTTTGTCTGTGGTTGCAGTACATGTGGAGGTACTGTTCCAACACCTGGTTAACCCTTTCTGTCTGACCATCTGTTTGGGGGTGATATGCTGTAGATATTGTAGACTTTATACTGAGCTTCTGGCAGAACTCCTGGAATAATTTACTCGCAAATTGAGTACCTCTATCTGAGATAACCTGGCATGGTAATCTGTGGAGCTTGAAGACTTCATTATAGAATATATTAGCGACTTGTGATGAGGTGATCATGTCATCTGTTGCATAGAAGTGCGCTCATTTTGTGAGTCTGTCTACGATGACAAGTATTGCCATCTTCTTTTCTCCTTTAAAGTCCATGACTGGAGGAAGTTGTGTGATGAGGTTGCCTGTAACAATCTCCCATGGTCCTTCTGGTACATCATTGAGTTGTAATAGTCTGTATGGTTTTTCTCTTGAGTACTTGTTGCGTTGACAACTGTCGCAACCTTGTACATACTGTTTAACCATTACAGACATTCCCGGCCACCAATAGTTCCGAGTAATGAGCTCCAACATCTTGAACCTGCCTGGGTGTCCAGCTGGTAATGTGTCGTGATGAAGCTTTATTAGGTCAAGGCGTAGCTGTTGATCTTTGGGGACATAAACCTTTCTGCGATGGAGTAGCAGTCCATGCTCAAAGTTCCATTTGCGAGGTTTTTCCCAAATTTGCGCTGTCCTGTAGTCAAAAGTGCATGATAATCTTTGGTCATTGTGTCGTCTGTGAGTGCCTTCTTGATCCTTTCCAGTAGTTGAGCATCATCAACTTCAGATGCATGAGCAGGTCGAATCGCATTGATAGCGAAAAATTCAGGTTTTAACAGCATTTGGTTTGAATTGTCGCTGTCTACCTCCCTCTCATGGTCTGGCAGGGGATCGGCACGAAGCATTGTCTTTCCCAGGTCAGTGACTGAGTGTAAAATTGAATTGTGTGAGAAATAATGACCAGCGCACTTGGCGTCTGGTTAACTTTTGTGCCTGGCAGAAGTACGTAAGGTTGAGATGATCTGACCATATCTCAATGGGTTCTGGATGTCCTTCCAAATAGTGCCGGTATTCTTCTAGTGCCTGAATAATTGCAAGCATCTCCTTGTCATAGATCTCATAGTCTCGCTTGTGTTCGTTGAGTGATTTAGAGTAGTATGCGACTGGATGCCAACGTTTGTCTTCTCCCAGTTGTTCGAGTACTGCTCCCATTGCATAGTCTGAGGAATCAGTCTCTAAATGGTAGGGTGCAGTGTCATTAGGAAGTTGTAAGATCGGGGCTGATGTGAATGCTGTTTTGAGTGCACTGAAGGCTTGGTCTTGCTCTTTCTTCCATTGCCAGGGCACACTCTTACAGGTGAGTAGCGTTAGAGGTTTCGTGAGTTTCGCAAAATCCCTTATAAATTGCCTGTAGAAATTCGCAAATCCTAAAAAGGCCTGTACTTGTTTGACCTTTGTAGATGCTGGCCAGCCAAGGACACCTTCAATTTTAGCAGGGTCCATCTATACCAAGTTCTTGCTGATGATCATGCCAAGATACTCAATTGAGAACTCAAAGAAGCATTTCTCCAGTTTGACATATAAGTCATTGTCCCGGAGT